TTTTCATTATCTCTCTCTCAATTTTATCCTTTTCTCTCATTTTCACATCCCATTTTCATATTTTCTCTTCATAAAATATTTTACTTGCCCTCAAACTATTATTTTCACACTTTTTTTGCCAACAAATTTGTTTTGCCTTTCAAAACCAATAACCACAAGAGGGCGCCCCACCACGCCGATCAACAACTTGACTCGTCATCAGTATCAATTTCACATTCTGTGAAAATTTACCCTTAAGTGCAACCATTTTCGACACTTGTTTCTCACGGAAAATAAACCCATTCTACACTGTGGCGCTGTATTTTTTCCAATTTCTCACTGATATTTGTTGGATTGCAAACATGGTGATATTAGAAGAAACCAACTTGAATAGTCTTTGATCACTGTTTATACGTTTCACAAATAATTATTGTTGTGTATTTTTTTTCATAAAAAGATTACATCTGTGTAACATTTTCAATTCTAGGCAACTACTACAAACTATGATTAAAATTATATCTACGTCTAGCCTAGTTAACTCGTATAACTCGTTAAGACTAGTTAACTATTATGAACTATGCTAACTATATTTACGTCAGGTCTTGTTAACTATTATAACCTACGATAATTATATTTTCATGAAGACTAGTTAATTATAATGAACAATGCTAATTATATTTACGTCAGGTTTGAGGGACTGTGGTAGATAGTACAATTCCTCAGTATGTACCACTAGTTTTGAGTTATCTGGTTGCTGTGATGCCTATAAACCAAGCTATATAAGACGACATATATAATGAATTTTGCTTCATCTGTGTACGCGAGTGCAAAATGAATGTACTTTTGTTGGATTACACCATCAAATCAGCCATTTTATTTTGTTCAACCCCGTTTATAGGTTGTCACGTTACAACCACTGACTAACGTAGTCCACCAAATACACACCACAAACTGCGGAAGATTTGAAACACGGTGAAATGCTGAAAAGATTGGTGGCGCTGGGTGCATTGCCTGTATGCAAAAGCATATGATCGCATTCTCAAAACACTGGCGGATCCAGAAATTCGGTAGGGGGGGGGGGGGTGATTTGACCTTCGGTGGGCAGGGTTTGTCAATTGATTTGTCAATTATTTTCCCCGGGCTGGGGGGTGGGGTAGGGCTGGCACACCTACCCCTAAATCTGTGTGTGATAAACCAAATTTATAAAGATTAGCTCCCCCCCCCATTTTTGTTGCGTTTACATCTAAAAGTACATGTCATTACATAACATTATTTTGCATATAATTTACAGCAAATATAGAACAAATGTATTAAATTTCTAAGATAAGATATTCAAAAGAAAGTTCCACCATCATGTTCAGTTGTTGGATTCACACACAAAGTGGTTGGGTCAGCAAAATATATATTATCATATACCATATATTGTCCAGCACAATTCCCTGTATCACACTCGGCTCAACACACTCTGTTTCATCAATCTAAACAATGGTGTCTGCGGTCATGCCGTGGTAAAATTGTAAGGTATATGATAAAAGCTTTATGGACTAGATAGGGCTTTTGTTGCCCTTGGTCATACGGCTTTTGTTGCCCTTGGTCATACGGCTTTTGTTGCCCTTGGTCATACGGCTTTTGTTGCCCTTGGTCATACGGCTTTTGTTGCCCTT